ACTCGTCGTGTTTGGAGGAAGAAGAATACTGAGTTGCATCCCAAGAACACCATACCTACTGTGAAGCATGGGGGTGGAAACATCATGCTATGGGGCTGTTTTTCTGCCAAGGGGACAGGACGACTGATCCGTGTTAAGGACAGAATGAATGGGGCCATGTATCGTGAGATTTTGAGCCAAAACCTCCTTCCATCAGTGAGAACTTTGAAGATGAAACGAGGCTGGGTCTTCCAACATGACAATGATCCAAAACACACCGCCCGGGCAACAAAGGAGTGGCTCCGTAAGAAGCATTTGAAAGTCCTGGAGTGGCCTAGCCAGTCTCCAGACCTCAACCCCATAGAAAATCTGTGGCGGGAGTTGAAAGTCCGTGTTGCTCGGCGACAGCCCCAAAACATCACTGCTCTCGAGAAGATCTGCATGGAGGAATGGGCCAAAATACCAGCTACTGTGTGTGCAAACCTGGTAAAGACCTATAGTAAACGTTTGACCTCTGTTATTGCCAACAAAGGTTATGTTACAAAGTATTGAGTTGTATTTTTGTTATTGACCAAATACTTATTTTCCACCCTGATTTACGAATAAATTCTTTACAAATCCTACCATGTGGATTCATGGATTTTTTTTTTCACATTCTGTCTCTCACAGTTGAAGTGTACCTCTGGTGCAAATTACTGACCTCTGTCATCATTTTAGGTGGGGGAACTTGCACAATTGGTGGCTGACTAAATACTTTTTTGCCCCACTGTATTTGTTTTTAGTTGTCGTGTTTCCATCTGTCCTCTTCTTGCTTTGCAATCCAGAAAATCGTCCTTGTCTTCATTTATATTGTTCTCAGGAATACTTTAACAGCAGAGATGGTGTGTGCATGTTCATCAGAGCAGAACATCAAATAATACCCAGTAATGTGGAAAATAAACAGGCAAGCGAATAGCAGCGTCATAACTCCTGTGTCATATCAGGAGTGAAACAGAGACAATCGCAGCAGCTGGATGGCGTTTCTTCACAGAAACAAGGTCAGCTTTTGCTGCTGATCGCTCGTACATGTTCCAAAACAAATCATACATCCAGTTCTTGTTTATTTTCTTGAACTGTATAGTTCATGTCAATTTATTCTCCAGCTCCTCGTTTGAAATTTAAACTTTAATCTGGGTTGGGTCCCAGACAGAAGAATGGCTGATTGTTTAGGTGATCGTTTGTCCATTTTGTTCATTTATCCAGTCGGTCTGTTTCAGAGACAATCACAGGTGAAAATGTTCACTTTAAATGCGTCAGAATACCTTCGATACCAACAAGTGAATCTCTGACAGCCCCAGCCGTTGGATGGTCACATATGATCATCTTATCAGGGTTTTTCCTTGCCAAGGATCTGGGAGGTGGACTACATATGACTTGCAACAGAGGAAAATGTGTCAGTTACTCATTGTTCGATGGCTGTTATTGAATCACTTACGTACACGTTGATGAGTTTTATAGATCGTGCCGTTGATTGATCACAAGAGAAAGGAGGCTGATTATATAAATTCTCACTGGTAGAACACAAAGTTGTTAATGTTGACCTCGCAGTCATTTAGATGTTGCCGACTAAATCTGAGGATTTTTGTTAAAGAGCAGCGGAGAACTTGAGAAGTTAATGTACTGTGTTAACCTAATCTGCCACTTGTAGTCACGTTATTTTGAAGTTACGTTTTTGGCAACGACATTGTTTTTTTTTCTTTGGTAATTTTTGTTCTATGCAACACTAGAGAGGACATTAAATCAAACAAATAATTTTAATTTGCAGGATTTAGCCAAAGTTTTGCATTACATACATTTTTCATTTTTATACAGTCCCTATCTTCAGAGACTTCAAGATAACTGGGCAAACTAACATATATGCTTTCTAAATATAAGGATTGTTTTGTTAAATACTTGGATTCAATGACTGGACGTCACCAAATGCCGTGTCTCCTCCCTTGAGATGCTCTGCCAGGCCTTTGTTTCAGCCACGTTCAGCTGCTGCTTGTTTGTGAGTGTCTCTGCCTTCAGTTTTGTCTTCAGTGGCTGAAAAGCTGCTCTGCTGGGCTGAGATCAGGTGACCGACTTAGCCATTGAAGAATATCCCATTTCTTTGTCGTGAGAAACAGTGTCGGGTTGCTTTTGCAGTTTTGCAGCATTTGGCTGAATCTGAGCCGAGAGTATCGGCAGTCACATCATTAATAAACACTCGTTAGTCGGTTCCACTGACAGTGATGTCATAACGTTGGCTCCACCGCGTTTGACAGATAATGTTGTAGGCTTCAGATCATGAGCTGCTTCTCTCGTTCCGCATTTTTCTCTCTCTATTATTCTGGTACAAGTTAATCTTGGTTTCAGGTTTTCAAAGAATGTTTTTCAGAGCTGCGCTGGCTCTTTTAAATGCTTTCTGGCAAAGTCTAATCTGGCCTTTCTGTCCTTGAGCATAACCAGTGTTTATGTGCATTTGTTGCAAACCTTCTTCTAGATTTTTAAAAAAATTGCTTCATTTGTCAGGACATGTGAGCTAAGAAATTACACTGCATCCCACAAGATGAATCGCCTGTGCAGGAGTGACTGAAGTTGCCAAACATCACTTCCTATAGAGGTTCAATGCCTGCAGGTCTGTTAACCGTATTAAGAATGAGGTACAAGATACAAGATGCAAGATGGTGTGTGTGTGACAGGTTGTAGAGGTCCCAGGTTGTTTGACAGAGTATTACAATGCTTTTGATAACAGCAGGGAGACAGCTGGCGATGTGCTTTATAGGCTTGGCATTTACCCAGAATGCTCAAACTGCGACTTTACGGCTCGACAGATGCCACTGCTGGTTGGCGAGACAGTTATCCAGTCAGTCTGTTTCAGAGGCAATCTGATGACTTTTCACGGGTCCAAATGTCCACTTCAAATGCTTCAGGACGCCTACGATACCAGTGACTGGATCCCTAACAGTCCCAGCTGTTAGGTGCTAATAGCATGTTAGCAGGCCAAACATTCTTTTTATTTTGGTCACATAATATTATCTTATTTGTTTTTTTTTCCCTAGCCGAGCAGCAAAAACAGTCCACATACAGTAAAAGCAACAAGTCTGTGCATTTTCCTCTTATTCCTCATCATTTCATTAGCAACATTTCTATGAAACCCAAATTATTAACAAATTATTCTATGACAGCCTGGCCAGAGGTTTGTTTTTTTGTTGCTGTTGTTTTTTCATTAAGTGTGATTAGAACATTATTGGAACATCTCTTAATATCCTGCTGATTTTAGTGTTCCTTCGAATCATTTGTGCTTTATTAATGCAGTGACTCTGCTGGTGTTAAGTGGCCTGCTCTTTTAAAAGCGTACTTTCTGGAAGTCTGTACCCAGGCTCTGTACTGCTGGAAGAACAATGTGATTATGGAGCAACAGGCAACTTAAATAGAATTTTCTCCTCATGTGATCCAGAAAAAACAGCCACATGTTGTGTTTCTAAAGCAACAGAAATCAGGCTTTTCAATATCCATCTGTGGAGGCTGTGTTTTAAAATGCAGTTTCAAACATGAGGAACTTTTTCAGAACATTTTCTTTTATTAAGATTACTTAAAAGAGTGTTTATTAGACGAAGAAAAAAAGGCCACTAGGTTTGTGTATCAAATAAAAGCCTCTTGCATTAAGCCTTTTATGTCCGCTGACAGTGATGACTTGAAAGCATTAGTATCCTCCTTGAATTGCCTTTCATGTCTTAATAATACGACCTTCATCTCAGCTAGTTGGGACAGCGTTTCACTTTTTCACTGAAGATAAAGTTTTATTCTGCCATGTGAGGAGAATTTTTGCACAAGTCGAGGAGCGTGTCAGGCTACATTTCACTGTGTGTTATACTTGTATAACTATGCATGTGACAAATAAAGAACCTTGAACCTTGAACTTGAACCTTTAACTCTCAAACGTCTAAGAACTCAACCCTAACCATAACTCTAACTCCAGGTAGACAGAATATGTCATTTTTGTTTTTATTAAACTGTTCTCTCAGACACAAAGAAAACAATCATTTTAACAGCTCCAGATTCAAAAAGACTTCATTTTCCAAATGAAGTCTTTTTTCCTTTTTAAAATTTGGGTTAGGGTTGAGTTCTTAAGCCTCTGAGGGTTAACCTTTTTGTGGATGGCACAGTGATTTCTGGAAGTGTTCTTGAGGTCATGCAGTCATTTCCATGACTGTTTTTAATGCGGTGCTGTTTTTAATCAACATTCATAACAAAAGAAATAGTGGATCAATAAAAGTCCACAGGTAAAGTCTGATAATACTGGACTTAAAAATTATTCCTGTGACTCATCTACTGGAACAAAACCCCTTCATGATATATAAACTTTCATTTCGTTTTGATATTGACATGCACTGATAAACCAGAAATGAAACTGTTTTTGCATGCTGCATTCTCATGTACGTTGTGGGATTTTTTGGGTTGTGGTTATGAAATCTGAGCTCTGTTTTAACAAAGGTTCCAGAGTGTGAACCATCAGTATGCAAACATGCATGTGAAATATTTGGATGAACTATCAGTGGGCAAAAGTGATTCATTTCATGAGCATAAATTACTCATTTGCAATGCAAAATATTAAAAAGCAGCCTGTTTCATATGCACAAGTGATCTCTTTCTTGGCTCTTTTCTGGAGGCATCAGAAGAAGTCGTGTTTCAGTTTCTGATCTGAACAACACCTCATATATATACTAATTCACACATCAGCAGCTGTACATCTCTGGCTCATCTTGTTCTTTTCTTCTTACCTAAACAGGAAGCAGGCCTATTTTTTCCTAACAAATATATTTTAAACTACATACATTATATACTAGCTGTTTGCACTAACGCTCAGTACACAGTGGTCTGACTAATTTATTTGTAGAGTTACAGGGTGTTTTTCTTTCTCCTTATATGCGCACTACACATAATGTGCAATTTTCAAAAGGTCTGTACTGAGAAAAACTCCTGTATAAGACCTATCTGTCCTCTGCATTTCTTTCTAGCAACCTCACAGCATCGTGCAGCGTCGCCTGCTGGAGGGAAACATCACGCGACTCAGAGGTGAGGGCCGGGACCTCAGCACCAGGGTTCGCTCCCCACTGGCCGACACCAAGGACGGACCTGCTGACACCGAGGAGAGGAGCGAGAGCACGGCTGACGACTCCACAGAGGAGAGGGAGTCTTTTGAGGAAAGTGAAAGGAGCCTACGGTCGGATGAGGAGGACGACAGCAGCGAGGCCGGAGCCAGACAGACAGCTGAGAAGCCCGAGGGCGGGGAGAGCTCGCCTGTCCTAACTGCTCTCATCATTCAGTGCAAGGTACTGAACCCTGCGTACTCAATCTACGCTCACCCACATTCGGTGCTCTGCTGAAACAAACTGAAAACAAAAGAGGAGACAAAGACCACACTACTCTGCTCCCATGACTCATCATTCAAAGCCTTCATTTACTTTCTCTTTACAACATATCAAAAGCTCTGCAGGACTCACAGACACCACTGAGTCAGAGTGATTAAATAAGTCCAACCTGGTCAACACATCTGTATGCGCCCAAAACAGATTCAGCATATAAAAGAAAAAGTGTGCAGGGGCTTAAAACTGTGGAGGATAAAATGATGGAGAGAAAGACAAAAAATGGTATAAAATCTTCAGCAGCAGGTTACCCAAACTTGTGTTTAACCAACATGGTAAGAAACAGATAACTCTCCACCTGGGGGCTAGTTTTTCCACTTGTACCCAACACTGGCCCTTGTAAAGCGTAATTTGTAGTCCTAGGTTGAGTCATCAAAGAGCCTATGCCACTGTTTCATTTATACTCTCATATTTCAGTGGTTCAGTGGTGGGTCTACAGTGTTTTCAGGAGGAAAACTGAGGTCATTGTGTTGATACTACCTACAACATTAACATAGTGGATAAGCTATATACTATTAGATTTTAACTCACTGGACAGGAAGCCTGTGCTAATCAGTATTTGGTGTTAACATGACAGATTACTGCAAATAGGATGTGCATTTATCTGCAAGGACATCATTTTTAAATAACTACATCTCACGTTATTACGTACAGCTGTGGACAGAATTTAGCACCAACTCATCATGGACATTATTATTAGGCACAGCATACATTTTCATTGCTATGCAGATGATACCCAGCTTTATCTATCCATGGAGCCAGATGACACACACTGAATAGTTAAACTCCAGGAATGTCTTAAAGACATAAAGGGCTGGATGGCGTCTAATTTCCTGTTTCAGAATTCAGATAAAACTGAGTTTGCTGCACTCGGCCCTATAAATCCTAACATCTTATTTACTTCCAAGCTTGAAAACTGTATATCGACATGTCTTAATAACTCCCTGAAAAACTTACAGTTGATCCAAAAGTACTGAAAGAGACTAGAACGAGAGATGTCAAGTATGATGCTACCACTACCATGCATGATAGTTGTTCTGCTGTTTTTAGGTTTGAAAGCTTCACCATTACTCTAACAATAAGACTTTTCTCTAGAAGGTATTTTGCTTGTCCAAATGGGCTGCAGCAAATTTCAGTAAAGCTTGAATGTGTTGATTTTGGAGCACCTGAATGACTTGTAGTGTACACTTGGAATCTACAGTTGTTTACAAATCCTTAGACCCAGAGATGGGCGGTAACGCGTTACTGTAATCTGATTACTTTTTTCAAATAACGACTAAAGTAAGAGATTACTATTGCAAAAACGGTAATTAGATTACCGTTACTTTCCCGTAGGAACGCTGCGTTACTGCGTTACTAAAACCGTGATTTTTTTGCAAGAATGTCTCATGACAGTGACGTAAGCAGTGCGACGTTCGTGACAACAGCTGTGTGCAGATCAACAATGGATAATATATCGAGTGCGGGAGAGAGTATGAGCAGAGGCGGAGCCAGACATTTGAAACACCGGGGCTTAGCCCAAAAGGGTAGTATGCATGTGGGATTTTTTTTTTTTTTTTTTTTTGGGGGGGGTAGAAATGACTGAAAGATTAATAGGCTCTGTTTTGAGTTTTGTTCAAAAAAGAATGACTTCATATAGGGAAAAATATATATCACATGTGCAGGACACCTTAAACTAGTTTTTTAATTAAGCAGCAAGTCAGAACAAAGTCGGGGCTGTATCAAGACACGAGGACTAAACCCCAATTCAACCAGACCCAGAACTGATCCAGAATTAAAACAGGACTACAACAGTTCAAAATCAGGACTACTGAGGACTTAACCAAGACAGAACCACAATCAGAACTAGATGATAGTCAATCAAGCCAAACACTAACATCATCAAATATACAGTTGAAACCAGATATTTACTCTTCAGATAAAAACACGTTTTTAATTGTAACATCAAATCAGACTAAATGTTTATTTTTTAGATAAATATAAAAACATATTTGTTAACTTTAAGAGTAAAGAGAGAAACTATCTGTATTTCTTAATTGTAAATGGCACCAAATTGTATTCAAACTGAGCCACACTTATGGAGCTCCACAGTTCTTTTCCTGGTGTTTTGGTTGACATCTCTTGATTTTCCCATGTCACAGAAACAGGCTCTGTGTTTTGCCTTATATGCATCCACAGCTGTGCCACCAATTTACTCACATGGACTCTACTAACCTATCAGAAGCTTCTTCAGCTCAGAATGGAATCCGTCTGGAGTTTTCTTATTAATTAACAATAAACTTAGTGTACATGTACTCCTAAATTTGATGAAAGTGATAAAAAACAGAAGCTCTGTCTCTCTTTATTCTGACATTTAACTAATTCAAAATATATTTCAATATTTATCTAAAACAAAAGTTTACTCTAAATTGATGTTGTACAGTAAAAATGTTTTATGTTTTCTCCCTAAAGTGTAAATATCTGGTTACAAATGTGAATATCCTGCTGTGTACTGAAATCCCTCTTGTTTTGCATAGAAATATACTGAACAACATACAAAGCATAATATATAAAATAACATTTACCTGAGTTTTTTCTTTGAAAGAACCCTCTAATGTCCATTCTTATATTTCAGTACATAACTGAAACCGATTTAGTCGGGGAGGGTAAGAACTGAAAATATGAAATAAACACACGTAAGCTAAGACTCTCTAAAAAACAGCATTGTTGTTGTTCGGCTTTTCATTTCGCCATTTGTTGATTCACTTGAAGAGCAAGTAACGTAATATTGGTCAAGTGATCAGTTTGATATCAATCTTTCGTGATTCACCGTCATATTTACATTATTTGTACGGTACGAATGATTTGCTTTGGTACCTGGTCAAACTTAAGCTCTCCTTAGTATGGCTGGCTCCGTTTCTCCAACAGCGCACTCACAGGCAGCAGCTGCCCCGCCCCCTCGCTCAGTCGCTTAGTGCCTGAGCTCGGATCATACCAATATCAGGGGGGATTCACGCACAGTCGTAAATTCCCACAGTGTGCACTATGTGCTTCGAATATTGTGTGTACTTTTTGTTTTATACAGTTGTCAGCCAGACATCTAACTATGAAAAAATTACACTCCAAAAGACCCCGGGCTTCTGACAAAACAACCCGGGCTTAAGCCCAGTAAGCCACCCCCACGCTCCGCCCCTGTATGAGCGTGCAGCGTTTAAAGCGTGGAAGTACTGACCTTACTTTGAGTTTGATTCCATAAAAAGTGACAAAAACATTAGCATCCGTTGTGCGTGGGAAGAAAACTTCTTTTTACAGCGAAAAAACCCCTAAACTTCCAAGCAAGCACCGAGTGCGCAACGACGTAATGGGAAACTCACAGAGAAACTCGCGGATTCTTCAACTGACCGCGGCACACCTGCACCAGGGTAAACCTCCGCCTACCCGCTCCTGCTTTACAGGTGAAAATAGAGCAACAGGACCGCTGAGTCTTTGACTTTATTTATTTTCTGCTGTGTTTTACTTGCATCTATTTGAAAGAGTGAGTGTAAACACAAAAAATATTATTTTATGTGCTGGAATGTGCAGAAAATAGGTTTAAATTTAAACAATTTACTTCCAGTCAGAGAATGTTGCATATAATTAAATTTTTGCTTGATGCATAAAGTTAAAAGATTAAAACTAATAAAACAAGTTTAAAAGAGACTTTTCCATTTGATTACATTTTGTATGATGGATTATGCAGAAAAAGTAGAATTGGGCTGAAAGATCTATCGCTTTATCACCTCTTCAGGTTGTAAATCGTGTTTTTTAAAAAGTAACTAAGTAACTAAGTAATTAATTACTTTTGTAACGGGATTACTTTTTGGGGGAAGTAATCAGTAATTAGTTACTGATTACTTTTTTCAAGTAACTTGACCAACACTGCTTAGACCATCTTAGCTACAATTCTCCTTCTTAGATCTTCACTGAGTTCCTTGGAGTTTCCCATTGTTGGTCAATCTAATGAGTGCTGTCAAACAAATACTTCTTATGCTGGCAAAGAGAAACTATCAGCTGTAGTCAATTGTAATCGGTAAGAAGAAGTTAACAGACATTGGCCTTGTCAAGTTAAAAGACACTGCAGAACCTTCACCACCACTTATTAAGAGATTTAAGCAAGTAAATGTAAATATTTGTATACTTTTGACCCTGTGTGAATGAGAGAAAGTCTAATATAAATTCAAAGTTGTGCTAGTAACTCTACTTTTTTGAAGCCATTAAAGATGTATGCTGTACAATGATTTCACCCTGGATAAAGAACAGTTCAAAGAAATCATTAAAAGCCCCAAATTACCAAGACATCAGTCCTCTTTGAAGATTCATGATCATTACAAAGCTACAGAATTTGAGACACACGAGCAACAGTCAAAGAATATTTGCTGAAACCAGTATTTACCCCTATACCTCCCTCACTCACCCACGTTAAGTCCTACACATTATCACACTTCATTTCTATTGTTTTTAATACCTTTTAAAATAATAATAATAAATTACTTTTTAAGATCAGGCATTGGAACTACAGTGTCAGGTTTACTGAAACAATTTGCACTTCTTGGTCCATGAACATCAGCACAGATTGTTTATTTTCTATTTCATGTGATAGAAAATATTGTAGTGATATTTATTATTGTGCAGTTTATTGGGCTTCTGTGTCTGAAATACAATGAACTAAGTAGATCATTAAATGGAGCTTTGTAACATCAAGCCAAGACAGCCAGTACTGCATAAAGGAATTCAATGGTCCTCGAGTTACATCAGCCTCTCCAGAGACTCTCCAGGGTTACTGCCATAGATTTGTCAACCAAAGAAAAATAGAGACATCAAGTAAAAAAAGACATAGAGCTTACGGTCGACATGTCTGGTGAATGAAACCATGTGAAAGTTTCTCTCCTTATGTCTTGGAAAGTGTTTAAAATCTAATCATAAACCCCGATCTGAACTGCCACTAAGGTTAGGTATTCACCACTGATCAGGTAAAAGCAGCTTACAGAAAGAGAAAAGCTCTGAAGATGGTAGAAACAACACAAATCTGCATGCACAACTTTGTATCCACACTTTTCTTAGATATATTTTCTAAAACATATTAGGGATTAACTGTAGTCTGGTAGTCTGGGGTCACTGATCACATATAAGGACAAATATCTGCAGAAAGGTTTCATAGAATTAGTAATAGTGACTTTTCAGAATATCTGCTTGAACTGACCCTGCAGACAAAAACGATAAGCAGGTGCAGGCATTTCACAGGCAAAATGATTCATTTAGTCTGTAAGTTAATAAAAAAAAGCAAATGAGACTTTAGTCGGCTTAATTGCACCCCTTACTACTGCATCAAAACCCTTTAAAACTGCATTTCGTTGCCCTGTACCTGTGCATGTGCAATGACAATAAAGTTGAATTCTATTCTATTCTATTCTATTCTATTCTATTCTATTCTATTCTATTCTATTCTATTTAGGTGTTGTTTCATTGCAATTACAGGACTTAACTATTTCATCCAGTTTAATACCCAATGATTGATTTGGTGGTGTTCTTGACAACCCATTGCTGTGTATTCAAAAACTCATCTCTCATCTTTCTTTTTGTTTAAAATTCACATGTAAACTAAGTGATAAACAATAAACCAGCAAACTGGAAATTTCCAAAAGCCTAAAGGACAGGATAAGAAAATACCCTCCCACTATGAATCACTCACATCTGGATACAGATGAGTCTGTATACTGTGCAGTTAACACTAGTCTTGAGCCGTCCCTCATTTCTTTGTATTTTGCCAGAAAAATTGGAAATGCGTGCAGCAATTTTTTTGAAATGTGCAAACAAAAATGGAAACATAAAATACAAGACAAACGCAGAGTTAGTGCCATTATAATGAGTTTGAAAGTCAATATTTTGGTTAAACCACCTTTATTCTTCAGCCTGAACTCTTTCAGGCAGCTTTACTCTCATTTTTTAAGTAGTCTTCAGTTATAGTTCTCCAGGCTATGACTTCAGACAATCCCACACTGCTTCAATAATACCAAGGATGAAGCTCTGATTGAGGCTAATCCATGACTTTGTTCCATTGTGTTTTTTTCTATCCATGTTTGTTTTTACTGCATTGGCAGTGTGTTTAGGATCCTTTGTCACGTGGAAAAATGATCAAAACTTAAAATAGATTTTTTTCCTAAGTTTTTTGTTTTATGTTTACACAACAGTGGTTTATCCCTTGAGTTAGGTGCATTTTTTAAAATTATTTTTTAGACCAAGTAAAATTAATCTGGTCAGGTACAAGGACTGGACTGAAAATTAGTGAAAGACCCTGAGAAAGCCTGAAGAACTGTTGCTCAAGACCACTTAAAGAAATTACAAGAAAGTCCGGCTCGTTTAGAAGCAAAACATAAAGAAAGAGCGGCTTCTCAAAACTTTTACAGCGTCTTCTAGCTTGAGTGCCATAGCCATCATAGACTGGAAACAACTGAAAGGCACAGTAACACACTACGGGATTTACTGTTCCTTCTAGTTTAATTGTAGTAACACATGCGGCAGAATATTTCATACTTTGTCTATAACCGTTGGCTTGATACTATAATATTTTGCCCTTTTGAATTTGAATTTTGGAGAATTGTGGCCATGCATAACACCAAGGACATAACTGTATTTTATCCTTTGAAAGAAATCAATACAGAGATCAAACAGCTTCTCATCCCTGTGGGAGAATATCACACAGTTTCTCTAAGTCCACTTTTTCAGTGGATTCAGCGTTTTCACCCATTACTCGGTGTGCGTTTGCTGGGTTTTATCATCAACTTATTAAATGCAAAGTGTTCTTTAGTTACTTGTTTGGCTGCTATTTTTAAACCTCAGGGATGGGGAGGGATTATTGCACTACCGGCCTGAGACAAAAGAGCAGGTTTGTGGGTCTGCTGATAAGCCAGTGAGGACAAAGAAGCCTTGCTCAGTCAGCTCGGTCTGCATAGACTGAGAGGGATCAAAACAAGGTAAATGGAAAATCAACGTGTTTACTTCCAAATGGGGGAATATCCTCGGGTCAAGTAGATAAGGTATTGACTTATAAAGGAGATAACGAGGAGAGAAGGACAAGAGAACACTGGATGTTTGAAAATATGTCCAATATCTAAAACAGAAAGACTCTCTTTTCATGACATTAAAATACTGACTCCTTATTTACAAGATACAATTTAAAAAATGCAGGATGTTGTGTTCCTGTGAACTTGTACTGAGTATTTTTAGTTGTACTTTTATTTAAAACATCAGCAAATTATAGAAACTAACCATTCAAGTGTTTTTAAATGCCTTATTTTCTCAAGCTGACTGTCCTAGATTTGTAAGAGAGATGAAACAGATGACTATATTTCAGATTGTTGATGACTGGAAATTGCCCAAAGATTCTGCTACTAAAGCTTTACTTGATCTGAAAGTAAATCTGTTTATAAATACACCGAGAATCTTTGATATATATCTGCATCTTATGGTGGAAAATACCTAAAAAGAGCCTGATGCTCACTTATGGGGGTGGTGCCAGCACACTGCTTCTGACATGCAGAGCTGCCATATGTTCTGTATGTACCTCATTAATCCAGTACTTTGCTTTCTTTCCATAAACATGGACATGTTGCATGAAATCACCTCAGAGGATGCTGAATGGGAAGAGGCCTTTGCAGACTGCAGTTCTAATAAACCATTACAATCTGCCGGCAAAAGATGAAACATGTCTTTGTGACATGAGGCGCCCTGCAGGCAGCAGAGCACCCGTGAGATAAAGAAAAGTACAAATGTCAGTGGAAATTGGGCCAAAAGACGCCTGCTTGCATTGCTACTGTAAAACTCTGGATTTAAAATCAGATAAGGAAATGTACTTAAATGCCCTTTTTGGTGGGTATAGGATGCAACTTTGTTCATATAAATCTATGTAATAATATAAATCTATCGCCAGGTGAGTTAGGTTAGCATAAATAGGCCTACTACAAGAAAATACAAAAAAGCGCTTAAAGTGGACTACAAGCAGCTGAGAAAATATGAGATAAAACAGGCTGTCAATGTTAATTAGGGCAAACCTCACATTAGCATGTAACATGTACTTTCAGGACAAAAGTTTGATGATTAAAAGACTATATTGATACATTGGGAATTCACTCATTTGCATTTTTGTTGGGCACATAATAACATGATATTTTTCTTATTTTATTCTTGCATGTATAAACATTTATGCATAGAAGCTTCAGATGTGTTAGCTGACCCAAGCTGCTAAGCTAGCTACCGTTAAGCTACAGTAGCCTTTTTAACTGCTGGCTTATTACACCATTGCAAAAAGTAAGTCTGTGAAATTTCTTCCCTCCTGGATATTCCACCATCAACTTTAAATGGTATTGTTGCAAAGTAGCACCTCACAGTGTTGAGGTGCACACAGTGTATAAAAGCCACCCGCATTCTGCCTACTCAGTAACTGCAAACTTTCTGTGGCATTAATATCAGCATAAGGAATTGTGCTGGCAGCGTCTTGACATAGGTTTCCATTGTAAGGCAGCGCATGCAGGTGCAATGTATGGGAGACCCAGTACTTTTGTCCATATAGAGTAACTCAAACAATAGAACAACACTATATTTTTTAACCATCTTAAAGAATTGGCGCAACAGCTGGAGCAGTTAGGTTCAAATTCTAATCAAATGATCCTATTTCCCAAATTGGGAAATTGTCCTTCTGACTTTGGTGGGTCCATGTGCTTTCAAAGTGGCATATGTACTGAAAAAAAAAATTAAGGCCCCTAGGGAAAAAAAATGGGGGCCATGACTTGTTTTTTGGAATTCTGAGAACATGATAGTAAAATGAATAATTATTTTTAATTTTCATATTGTTGTTCTAACTTGAAGGATATTAGTTTGTGAACTGTATATTTTCCCCCACATCAAATACTTTGCTCTCCACACAGAGAGTTGCTTGGCCAATGTGTTAAATCTGCACTCCATGCATGTTTCTAAAAAAATCATTGTCCAAACTGAGGAACCGAGATCTTTTGTCAGCAATTTGAGTCTAATATAGAGCTAATGGTTAACACCTCAAGACCTGTAATGGAGGTAATGAAGAATAATCTGGGTGGTTTATTTTTAACTGTATGAAAAAGCTAAACACCTGCAGCAACGGAGAGTCAGTACAGAGCAAGCTAAGCAGACAAAATAGCAAAAAAACAACAGTGGCGTTAGAAATACTCCACTACTGGAATATTTGTTTTGTTTGCACAACCCAACCTGATTGAGAGTTGAAAGTATTTTTTCAGTTTGGCAGTCGTGAGCATATGGCAGCCAAAAAGATTCATTCAAAACAGGAGAGATCAGCGTTCTTTATACGCTCTCCATAGTTAATGTGCTAATGTGCTGTTCATGCTGGCTGGTTTCCTTGCATGCACTGGTCCCAAAATGAAGCAGTAAAAAATAACACTGTGACACCAAAAATCACCCCTCTGTCTCCCCACAGTGCTGCGAGACTGAAGTCAAGGCATCCATCAACACCGGCAGCCAACACAACCACATCTCCACCTCCTGCTGTCAGAGGCTGGGGTAAGAAACACTCTAAACACTCACTGCACATGCACCTAATATTAGCATCTTAATTTATTCTGAGAAACACATTAGCTCAGTACAAATACTGAAGTGATTCAAAAAGTAACCAAGGATAGAAGAAAGGACACTTCACAGAAGAAGTAGATTTAAATAAATGAGCTTTAAAGAGAAATCTGAATGACAACATAAAGCTCTTAAGTTTCTCCAGATTGTTAAAGATGTGATCTTAATGTCGTCTTTAAACTTTCAAATATATAATAAAGATCTTTTTTTTCTGGTGGCTATTTCGTAATTTTCCTTAAGAAAAAGAAAATCATTTCCATTTTAAAGTAAGGAGTCAGTTCTATGACAAAGTTACATTTTATCCCTACAAATATTGTGCAGCTGTTTACACCATGAGTTTGCCAAATGTGGATAAAGTTCAGGTTAATACCCGCATGCCTGTGTAGAATGTGGTTAGCGCTGAGAGACAGTTTAAAAAAACAAAAAGCACATACTCAGATTCTTTTGTTGGGCCATCTTTAGCTTTAACGACGGCGTAATTCTCTATGGCATTGCTTTAACGGGCCTTTTCAATGTCGCAACATTTATTTCTGTCAGAGTTTAGTTAATTTTTTTTTACCAAGCTCCTGCATTAATAATGGGAGAGTTGGACCTCAATGCAAAGACTTCTCCATCACATCCCAAAGACTCAGTGAGGTTATGGTCCAGACTCAATCCTTGCTCCCTGAACTACTCATTCATAATTGGAGCCAAGTGAATTCTTGCATTGTTATAGGAATAAGGGAAGAAAAAAAGTTGATGGAAGAACATGGTCATACATTTATTCAGGTAGTTAGATCGCTGAACCTAAACCTGATCAACTGAAGCAACCTCAGATCATAACACTGCTCCCACAGGCTTGTTCATTAAGCACCAGGCATGCTGGGAGCATCATGTCATCGACTTCTCTTCTTTCCCTGATGAGCCAATCACTCTGGAACAGGGTAAAAGTTATGTTCCCTAAGAATCTGAAGCCTTTTTTTTTCTGATTAGCCTCACTGATGAGCGGTTTTCTTAAGGCTACATATTTTAGTCCCAATCCTCTGACTTGTCTTTGCATTACACATGTGGAAATCCTCTTACATTCACTCTTAAACGCAACTGTTAGTGCTTCTCTTGATTTTATGTATTGGAATTATATTTGTGTCAAAAGTATTGCTGCTAAAATGTGATATTGTACAACAGACTGAAGGAGTGCAGAGGCTACAGAACCTCCCTCTGAATCCTCTCGATTTGAAGATTTTTTTTCAGTGATAGTTTTCAGTACTTCCACTGCTACACAGGAAAAAAAACGTTTGATCGTTAATTCGGCAAACTTCATTTTCCAAATCGTAAACAAGTGTTTGTCTGCGAGTACGTGAATGTGAAAATCTGCTCCTCTGTTGCTTTTTATGATCCTAGTTAATAAAATCCCAGCAGCACCAACCTTTGATTGACATTTTAATAAAAATCAGATGCACTTTGTTTTTGTGAGGTGAAGCTGCTGTAGGTAGGTGTACTGACATGATACACCCACAAAGGCTGTTTTTGGACTGATGAAGATATTCTTCATTGTCGTCGTGTGTGTGCGTGTCTCTGTGTGTGTTGCTAGACTGGTGCCCAGACAGGCCAGTTCACCATGCGACGTGAACAGCTCGGTGACGGAGCTGCAGCTGCAGCTGGGAACACAGAGAGTCCAGTGTTCAGCTTACATTAAAGGTAAAAATATCACAGTGAAATCATGAATACCATTTCAAGATTTTTAAAGTGCACCGCTGACTTAAACTGGATAACATTAGCTGTGTATGAACTCTTGATGCCAATAAATGAGAACTGAAGGTCTCACATGTGTGGGTGGAGGTAAGTGTGGAGCAAATTTCACCAAAATCTATTAAACTTTTGGCACGATGGTTTTTAAGGAATAGAAATGCCGTGTTGCCACGGCTTTCATATCCCTTACAAATGCTCCCAATAACTCTTACCAAAAAAATTGTAAAAGAAATTGAAAAGATCTGTCAAAGTTCATTTGGAGGGGTAAGAAACCCAGATTATGTATGAAAACGTTACAGCTGCCCAAAGATAAACGGGGTCTTGCCTTTCCTAACATTTTGCTGTATAACTGGTCATGTCAAAGTAGAGTTATACATGAATGGATCCACGCATATCTAAAAGAGACAGAATCCCCTTGAAGCCTGGACATGTTCGCCATTTAATCTCCTAAGCAAACTAGTGAGTAAATATATTAAAAAACATAACAAAGTAATGATTGATACTTACTTAAACACATGGCGTGATATGAATAAATACACTGAAAGTAATCCTATACTGAGTTATCTAACACCTTTTATAAATAATCGGCACTTTACACCGGGAATGAAAAGTGTAATATTTCAGAGATGGTTTGGTGCAGGAATACGTGTGGTGGGTGATGTGTTTAATGGGAATGTTTGTATGTCTTTTGAGCAGGTCCAAAAGAAATATGGAATACATCAAATGGATTTCTTTTGCATTTTTACAGGCTCGTCACCTAATTACTTCACGTTTTGATACTTTGCACAATACAATGCAGCTAGGACCCATGGAAAATTTCTTTTTACACTTAAATGCAGATAATAGTACTAAAAGACAGTTTTACAATACACTACAAGGTTATAACCAGTGTTGGTCAAGTTACTTTAATTACTTAGTTACTTAGTTACTTTTTAAAAACACGATTTACAACCTGAATATGTGATAAAGCGATAGATCTTTCAGCCCAATTCTACTTTTTCTACATAATCCATCATACAAAATGTAATCAAATGGAAAAGTCTCTTTTTAAAACTTGTTTTATTAGTTTTAATCTTTTAACTTTATGCATCAAGCAAAAATTTAATTATATGCAACATTCTCTGACTGGAAGAAATTTGTTTAATATTTAAACCTATTTTCTGCACATTCCAGCACATAAAATATTTTTTTTTTGTGTTTACACTCACTCTTTCAAATAGATGCAAGTGAAACACAGCAGAAAATAAATAAAATCAAAGACTAGCGGTCCTGTTGCTCTATTTTAAGAGCACCTCCGCCTACCCTACTCCTGTAAAGCAGGAGTAGGGTAGGCGGAGGTTTACCCTGGTGCAGGTGTGCCGCAGCGATCAGTGGAAGAATCCGCGAGTTTCTCTGTGAATTTCCCATTACGTCGTAGCGCACTCGGTGCTTGCTTGGAAGTTTAGGGGTTTTTTTCGCTGTAAAAAGAAGTTTTCTTCCCAGCACAACAGACACTAATGTTTTTGTCACTTTTTATGGAATCAAACTTAAAGGTCAGTACTTCCACGCTCTAAACGCTGCATGCTCATGCTCTCTCCCGTACTCGATATATTATCAACTGTTGATCTGCACACAACTGTTGTCACGAACATAGCACTTGCTTACATCACTGTCATGAGACATTCTCACAAAAAAAAAATCACGGTTTTAGTAACGCAGTAACGCAGCATTCCTACGGGAAAGTAACAGTAATCTAATTACCGTTTTTGCAATAGTAATCCCTTACTTTACTCGTTACTTGAAAAAAGTAATCGGATTACAGTACTGCCCATCTCTGGTTTAAACAAACATAATATTGGAAAACTGATTAGGAGTTGGGAGGGTGACCTCCAGTGTCATTGTGATGATCATGCCTGGAGTGAGTGCATACAATCTGTGCATTCTCTATTGCTTAGTAACAGATTTAAAGAAATACAATATAAAATTTTACATAGACAGTATAGAACGCCTATTTTTCTGAATAAAATTGATCCGAGCAGGTCTGCACAATGTATTAAATTTAAATCTGCGGCGGGGTCCTACTTGCACTGTCTTTGGACTTGCTCAAAATTCTGGCTCTGTGTAACAAAAGAATTAAAAGGTATATTTAAAAGCAGAATACAAAAAGATCCATCTCAGTATTTATTGGGGCTGTCAATTCTGAACAAATTTCCAGATAAAAACAAATATATACTACTATGTAAATTATTGTTTTTGGCAAGAAAATGTATTCTTTTCAATTGGATTAATGAAAAACCACCAACAATAACTCAGTGGTATAAAGAAATCTTTAGAGTTTTACCAATGGAAAGACTGAGTGCAAAATTAAGTGGCAACGATGGTATTTTTTTGGACATATGGCGCCCGCTATTGGATTACTTACCTGATGATCTGAAGAAAACCATAGTGAGAGTGGCAGCCCCACTCCAATGGTGGGTTGAGTTTGTCAGGACAAATGTGTAAATGAGTGGTAGACCGAATTTGTTATTTCCTGCAGCACTTATGTAAATGCATTAGCTTCTCAAAACAGCTTCAACAGTTTCCTTGGTGTAGCTTTGTAGATAACATACAGACTGACATGAATCCTAACCTTGTTCCTAACTTTGCCGTTGTTGCAAAGTAGTTTGCGTGGAAAACTTGCCTGCAAACACCTGTCGCTTCCTGTGACTGGGGTCTAAGATAACCTTAAATAAACCCTGTTACAAGCTTAGCCTACAGCTAAGTAGTAGTAGTAAGTAGTAACTAAGTAGTAGTTACTTTTATTTCATTTTTTATTTATTTATAAAAGGTTCAGAGGTGGTTTTAGGTGGATTTTGTTACCTTTGGACAGAGCTACGCTAAATCTAAAACTAAAAACGCTGCTTCCAGCATGCAGCTATTAGTCTTCTCATCTGAGTCCCTGCAAGGAGCTAGAATCTGTTTTTTAAATGTTGAAATGTTCCTTTAAAGTTAATCTAGAGCTCTTAAGTCATGCAATTGCCCTTACTTTACTTACCTTTCCCTTGCTGTGAAAACATTCAGTCCTCACACAGACAAAAAAAAGACCGCTTGCTGTTATTATTGTATTTTTTGTGGACTTTCTCCACCGACTCTAAATCCCTTATACCTGCATCCAGGGTCCTTCGTGTGCATTAAATTCTCACGTTGCCACCACCCACACAAGTACATATGCTTAACAGCGCTCATTAACACAGATGAATATGGAGCGTGCTGATGACTTAACCTGGATTCAGGCTAATGAATGCATTTTCAGATGAGGTGTTAAGAAATGGAAGCAGCTTACAAAATGCACTGAAATGCAGTTTATGTATTTCTCTTCCCTCTGCCCTTATCTCTCTCCTCCTTTTCCTCCCTTTCAGAGGACGAGGCGTTCGAGCTGTGCCTGGGTCTGCAGACTCTTTTGGAACTTAAAGTAAGATCCTCATTTCATTTTCTCATATTTTGTGAGCCTTATCGCATCTTTTGATGTGTGCGTGGCCTTTTACAGACTCAGCTAAGCTGTAATGGTCACAAAGCTTTAAATAACCAAAAAGAGGAGAAGAAGAAATACTCTCATAGAACTGAACATGTAAGGGGGAAATATGCCGGTTCTTATTGCATAAGGGTCGTGTTGTTTTTATAGCACAGTATTTAATCGGGCGCCTGCTGTGCAGATAAATCCCACATGAGGAGATTCTGGACATTCTGTGATGTGAAATGTTTAATATTCACATTTGAAATATGACATCTAAATCCAATCACAAGACAAGCTGGCAGTTTGAGAGCAGTCCTTCGTTTATTTCAGCTTTACATAATCAGGCAACTAGTTATCTCCTGGAAGATCTAATTAAAGTGAGACTTCAGGGTGTGAAAAGAACATGAGCTCCTATTTTGTAGATCAGCCCTGAAGGACTGTGTGAGGTAAGATGAACATTTTAGCTCCGAGCTCATTCCGGTGTTTAGCTTTCCCTGCAAATATTCATAAGCAGTGTTAGTAATTGTGATTAATGACCTGCACCAGCACAAATGTAATATAAAAGCTGCTTAACAGAAGGACGAAGAATAAAACATCCCTGCTTTCATAAATCAATGTTCCAAGTCTTTTTGTTTTCATAGAGAAAGTGTTAGACTGCACTTTAAATTTCAATTCATTATCATTCATTTTTCAACTTGTATGACATAATCAAGTTCAATGATAGGGAGGCTTTATGGTCAACCAACAACAGAAGAATCAGAAAAATGAAGCAAATTACTCAATAAAAACACAACAAAATGAATGGATATTTATGGTATAATTCCCATTACACCGTATAAAGTTCGATACTGGATTAATGCAGATCTCACTACCAGCTTGTTAACCTTTCCTTTCACGCTTGCTGCTATCTTTATGTCACAAATCACCCCTGACATTTGTCTCCACCCACTCAATGGAGCTAATCATGCTGAAAATACGGGGGCCTGTTTCAGAAACGTTCCACAGGTTGCCCTCCAGGTCTATTTTTGACTTAAGTCATATCAAAGATGGAGTAAATCTGTGCCCAAAATGCAGCTTCCTGGTTTACTTTCAGCTGAATTTCATTTGTTGAACTCAGTAATAGCCAATACATTCTCATCGAAGGGGTGTCACATGATGCCACTTTGCCTTTTTGAGAAAAAAGTATATTCCCTGACCAGTTGGCGAGTGGTTGCAAAAACAGTGCTGTGTCGAAGACCTTATGATTACTGCTGCTGCAACCAAGACATTTAAAAAGGTGCAACTTTTACTTTAGAGATGGCAAGTAGTTGCAGACAAGCCTGTATCTTCCATGTGACCTACAGGCTGCAGCATTCTGTTAGGAACCAAAGCAATTAATGAGATTTCTTTTTATGTAGCACTCTGTACCTCTTTGTGACCAGTTTCACCTAGCAACTGCTGGCAACCTCCAGCAACGACTTGTCAACTGGTTGGGGAATAAGCATTGTTTCCATAGTGACCAGTGGTTGCCATGGGGTTCCAAACTTGTTTCTAAGACTCACAGCTCTGGCTTTGAGTTCAGAAGCCACAACACCGACTTTGCTTCTGATCAGAAGAAAACTGGCGTATAGGGAGAGGGAAGGGACCTACAGCTGCTTTTTTCAGAAGCTGATTATTTTGGATATGAATCATGCAAAACTACTCTAGCAGAATTTAAGAATACACACAATTTTCCATCTTAGATTATTAAATTGAAATATATCTGGAGGTATTAAGTGCAATAAACTATCCAACTTTTCATGTGTGTTGTGAAACAAGATTGGCCACCTGTGATTAAATATTTAGCGTACTAATTATGTCTCCCCATGTGACTCCTCTCATAGTGCTGTTTGGATCTGAGCAGTCGGGTCCTGAAGCTGCAGGGCTGCGGTGAGGATCTGCCCTTCCTGAACCCCTTGACCGACAGCCAGTGCCAACACGACACCAACGAGAACCTGTGAGATCGACTCCGCAGCAGGGACCACGTCCTCCTAAAGCCTATTCGGTTGCAGCAATGCGGCACGATGCTGTTCATGTCTGGGCTGTGGGGTCACCGTGTCTCTCACTGCCAGAACATGGATGAGCATTCGCATCAGTTGTGCTTGAGTTTACATCTTTGTGTTGGTAGAATTAAGACATTCACCATGATTATCTCTTATATAAAACTAGTCTAGTAAACAGAGGAAAATCCAGTCTTGTAAGTTTAATCATTCTTTGTGATTAGACTATATATTCAAACCAATTTGTCTGCTGAGGTGTTCAAATACACCAATGCACTAAAAGGGAAAACCATAATAATCCTTAAAGTGATTTTTTGTGGAATATTTTGTGATTTAACTGTAAAAATACTTTGAGTCATAGAGTGAATGAAAAACAAGTTAATTGTGAAGTTAAACAACTTCACTTAAGATATTCTTAAAGGAATAATTTTATATTTCGAAACGTTTAGCAACAACATTAGCCTATCAGCACCATTAAAACTCACTATTTAACACATTACAGCTAATTTCTGAAGACCATACGAACACTAAATGTACAAAATAAAAGTTGTACGTAATATAAAGGCTGACAAAAACTAATATAAGCATATTAAAGTTTTTAAAGCTTTTTATAGATGAAACCAGATTGCTAATTCAACCTAACTTTCTTCTAGCAAATACTTTAGCAACTGATCCAAAACATTAGTCATACTCTAGTATTTATCAACTATGTGTGTTGACCATTTATTTGAAAAGCTATTAAGACTGATCCACTTAGACAGGCGTCCACCGCTTACACCATCTGTGACGTTTAGCTAGAAACATCAAATCATTCTTTCATTTTCCAATAAATTTGGCAAAATAATGATTGTGTTTTTCAACCACTCCAAGTTTTAGCTCTTTATACATAAGTTTCAGTTTATAAAGTTAATGTTTATTTTAAAGTTGTTGTTTTTTTTAGTTCAACTCTTTGCCTAAATATTTGATTTAATATCAGTAACTTTACCTGGTTATGTATAACTTAAAGCTATTGGCTTTGAATTGCTATGTATCTGTTTCAGGTATTATCAATTTATTTTATCAGTTTTGCTAACAAATAATCACAGTTGTGCACAAAAACAGTATTTCCATTGTTTGTTATCTTAACTGTCTGCAATTTCAAAAACCATAGTATACCGAACAGTTTCTGATGCATAAACAGCAATTAAACAGCATAATATTTTTCCCCAAATCCTCCTCCAGCAAAACTTTCACCTACGAGGGGGAAACCCCTGCTCCCTCAGTGATATAATAATTTCCGTGTATCTACCTAAATTGAATGGTTACTGAACCATAGTCATTCAAAAGACACAAAGAGTTTGACATGTTCAAGAGATAAAGTCATGGAAAACAGAGAAATACAAACTGATCATTGCATGTTAATCTCAAAATTTTCAAATTTTAGGAAACAAAAGTAAAAAATGAAAATTTAGGAATTTTGCATATTATGTCACATTTATCCTCAACTGTAATAATTACATAAACGCTTTATTTCCACTCTTTAGCCATTTTTTAAACCTGTTATTCCACAGCTGTAGCTACATAGTTTTCCTCCATCTATCCCTAACTTGTACCCATCTGTTTGCTCATTATTTTTAACTAACAGTTTCCAATAGTTACGCATGTATTCAGCAAAGTGCACATTTATTTCCACTTATTTTTAATCTTTATCTGCACTCCTTAAACTCTATTGGATGATATAGCTTTATTCTTTCAGATGGTCCTGTGTGTAAGAAGAGTGTCAAGCTAACAAACGTCCTCTCCTATCTTACCTCGTACCCCTGGAATCAGTGGATTTAACATATTGCCTTAACATGTTCATTAGTGAGGCTTTAATTGGTGCTGGAAGGCTTCTTTTTCTCACCTTTGGACCAAGCCAGGCTGGATTTTGTAAATCAACATTTCCTGCCTTATATTTATCAGACAGAGCGGTGTCAGACTTCTCGCTGTCATCAGTATGCTGTATGAAGCTGTATTAAGCACATTTCCCAAACTACATTTAAGACACGACACGCCTCATATAAAACAAAGAGAGTCTTCAAGCTATTTCCTGAGTGTTAAAAGAAAATGTTGAGAAGCTTAGGATTCTAGTGTAATTAAGTGTGGATCAGGCTGCCTCCTTAAAAGACACGTACCGGTTCTCATAGAGAATTTCAAGAGATCCAAGGAAACATTTCTTAAGTAGATATATTTAGCTTTGTAAAGTCCCTTCATTCTTTTTTTTCCCTCATAAAGAGACTGATTTGGTTATGTTTTCCAAGAGCACACTTTCCAGCCCATCACGATGGCCTAGACTGAGTTATGGTAGTTCCCTATAAATCCCCTCATATAAAAATAGACTTAAGGCCAGCTGGTTAAATATATCAAGAGTCAGAAATATCAAAACATTCCATCTGCATGACTTTGTAAAGTTCTGCCTTTGTATAAGTCTGCATGTTTATGTACTAGTCTGATTGTGTCATGTTGAAAGTCTGAAGGGGCTGGATGTGTGTGTTATAAGCACAGCAGGGTTTTCTGCCATCTTATAACAGCAGCTCCTGTTTCACGTGGGAAAAAAGTGGAACAGGTCCCATCATCCCCAAACTGGTACAGCGAGCTCCGGTCAGAACAAGCTGCCAAAAGCCGACCCCCGCTGCCTTCCCTTTCTGACTCTTTCAGGAGAGTTTAACCACTCGGCTAAGGCTGCACTTGTGCCAAGGCACCTCTTCAAGCTTATCTTCATTTAGGCAACTGATCTTCTTTGTGTATTTGCCACCATTTTTTGGCTGATGTTATTCACTCTTGATGCCTCATATTTGCTGATTTGCCTCCCCACTACAGTGCCACCTGCCTCTCTTGTATGTGTTTTCATAGTGTGGAGAGTAAGGAAGCTGCCTCAGATGTGCTCACCGAAAGCACCATCATGCTCTGCTTTAACAACACTCGAGCTGCGCCACGCTTTTTGACCGTGCTACAGCAACCATCTAGCCTATTCTTGGTGGTCAGATTGGAAATATTTGTTTCTCTTTGTTGTATTAGTGACCTTCCTATGACGTGTGAGAGGAATCGATGTATGACAGAAATTTATTTTTGGTGTTTTTCTTCTTCTGGACAGTATTTTCTCTGCCTAATAAAGTATGTATTCTGGCTAGCTTGGCATTCATAATTTTATGACAAGGAGACACAACACAGAGGAGTGATGAGCCTATTTGGAAAAATGGAGTATCGGGGCATTAATTTAAAATCTCAGCAGACTGGCTGTGGGAGGACTCCACTAGACAGACCAGCCTGAACACTGATTCCCATGTTCTGCAGTAGCTAGACACCCATGTATGTGCCCTTCACTGCTACATCTTGCTAAATAAAGAAGCATGTCATGTTAGAATAGAGGAAGCAGATGTTCCCACAGCACCAGGGGCCTTTGACAGTTGATTGGCCTGAGCATTGAAGGTTCCCATCTTGCTGCACTGCCCTTTTTTTCCATGACAGAGACCCAAGCCAATTCCCATTGAATATGTAGTAAGATCAAGTCCTTTTAGCTCTATAGCACGAGACAAAACATTTCAAGTGTTTTTAAAGAAAACCAGAAGAAAGACAGAAGTCTTTATATCTGAACTGAGAGCTGTGTCTCTGGTGTTTTATAGATAATTGTTTCTTTTAGAAATTCTTTCAAAGGAACACACCAATAACCAATCTTTTACAGTAAATTACATCTAAGCATGATTAAAATCACAGAGTGATTAAATGTGTTAACATGTTAATGTGGTGTTTTTTATATGCTATATACAGTAGCTATCAAATGTATACCATAGGCCAAGTCAGATATATATATGTAATATAACGTGGAGTGGAAATTTTTTTTGCCACTTCCTCATTTCTTAATTTGTGGCACATTTGTCACACTTTTGGGAAAATATTCTGTGGAGTGAAGAGACAAAAGCTGGACTCTTTTGAAAAGGTCCTACTACATTGGGAGTAAAACTAACACAACACTTCATAAAATGAACATCATAGGAACAGTCAAACATGGTCTGGACTTGAGTTTGATTGAGATGCTTTGGCATGACCTTAAAAAGGCTGTTTATGCTCATAAACCCTCCAATGTGGCTGAATTTAAAAAGGTTCTGCATTGAAGAGTGGGCTAAAATTCATCCACAGTCATCTCAAACATGGCGGTTGTAATGTAATGGTCTGGGGCTGCTTTGCTGCTTCAGGACGACTTGCTGTAATTGAACCATCCATTCTGCTCTCTACCAGAAATATATCCTGAAGATTAAGCTCACTTGGGTAGACCAAGTCCATGTCAGAATGGCTCAAAAACAAAATGAAGGTTTTGGAGTGACCAACACCAATGAAATAGCAGATAGGCTGGGCTTTTATTTCATTTAAGAATAAAACGAGGAGCTTGATCATTCAGAAAAGCTTCGTAGTAGAGCCGCTACTCCTCTACATGGAAAGAAGCCAGCTAAGATGGTTCAGGCCTCTGACTAGGAAGCCTGCTGGGTGTTTTGAACACGTACTACTGGGAGAAGGGCTATACTCAGGACATACTGGGAAGATTATATCTCTCAGCTGGCTTGGGAATGCCTTGGTGTTCCCCGAAGGAGTTGGAGGAGGTGATCAGGAAGGTGAACTGTGACCAGACCAGATACACAGCAGATAATGGTTGGATGGGTGATGGATGTTAATGAGGTTGTGTTGTGGGGCAGGTCTACATGTGCCTTGGCATTTATTGTTGCAACACACAAATCATGAGCACATTACTCTAAAAATACTTTGTAGACTCTCATTGACCAACATGGAGGCAAATTTTATATCCTTAGAAGTATGGACCATGTAAGGAGAAGAGAAACTGTTGTTAAAGGCCCTCAGCCTGAACGTACTCATGCTAACATGCTGGTACAGGAAGTTGCATATAACTTGGCCTTACTCTTTAGACTGTTGAATCTGAGCCAAACCCTTTTCTAGACTGCGTGAAAGTATCTGATAAGGCCATGAGACAAGCTACATGCTAGTGGAGCTTACTCCAAAGAAAAGAAAAAAAGCTTGGTCCCTCCGTCTGATGATACAATTAAAAGAAGAGCTGATAACATGTCAGATATCACAGACGTTTTTTTGTTTCACAGGTGTGCCTGTGGGTTCATCTCGTCCTATTTAGTCACACACAAACAGAAGAGGAGAAGCATTCAAAGTCATTGCATAGCTGAGTGTAATAAAAACTTCCTAAATGTTAATGCAGCTAAAGCTTTGTCTTCAATGACAGTTTTTGGTTTTAACTAAATAGCTTTTGATTCATGCCCTGATGAATCTCTCCTTACATACTTTTTCTTACAGATGAAGCACAGGGTTCCAAATATGGACTAGCTCTGTCTTCCTCTAGAAAAAGAGGTAGATGCAGAAAGAGAACTGATAGAAAGAGGCTACGGAGGGAGCCTCAGGGCCAGCTGCAGGCAAGCAGCTGAGGGCTGGTGCAGGGACTGATGGCCTCCAGTAGCACTGTGAGGGAGTCTTTTTTGACAAGCATATGTCCTTCAGTGTCCATATTAAACAAATATGTAGGACAGATTTTTTACATTTGTGCAACAGCTCTCAAATGAGAACCATCCTATCTCAGAGTGATGACTAAAAACCTGTTCATGCATTCATTACTTATAGGCTGGACTAGAATTAATAAATGAAATGAAATAGTAATTCGTTATTATTAGGATGTCCTAAAACCTCGCAGAAAAGCCTTCAGTTGATCCAAAATGCTGCAGCTAGAGTACTAACAAGACTGGAAAGAGAGAGCATATTTCTCCCAATAACGTCTTTTCTTCATTCTCCCTTTATTGTTCATGTTCCCTGTTAAACCTAGAATCGAATGTAACCCTCTACTGTACACATTTTAATAGTACATACTAAAAATTACTTAACATCATTTACTGACTCGCTTTGGGCCATTTTATTGACAAAAACCAATTTTATATTTCAGACACCCCCTCCCCAAAATATTTTTGTTGCCTAGGGGCAACATTGTGCAATACAAGAAAATGATCAGTTCAACAAATTTTCTTCCCACTAAGGCCAAAACACTTACTCATAGTGGGTCATATGATTGTTGGGTTTTCTCTGTTTTCTTTGTATTATTGCAGGGTCTTTACTTTACAATATAAAGTGCCTTGAGGCAACTGTTGTTTTGATTTGGCGCTCTATAAATAAAACTGAATTGAATTGGACTCTGGTGTTAGTTTCCTGGTCTTTGTGCACCCACTGTTGAAGGCAAGTGTCAAGTGAAGTCCTTATTTTTGCATCTATCCCTTTGGTATAACTAAAAAACAAAGACCCATAATGCTGCGTGTTACAGATGTCAA